ATTTTTGACTTTTAAGTCAACAACTTGGTTTTAAATTGTGGTTCTTGATTGAGGTTTTAAGAAATGCTCTGATGGGTGGAGGGAGGGTAATTGGTGCATCTTACAAGCGTACACGTGAAACTTACTAAATGTAGAATATAAATGTCTTAACACAATAATTAAGAAAATGCCATGAAGGCTATGTTAACCAGTCTGATGAAAATATTTCAAATTGTATATAAAACCAGCACATTGAACCCCATGACTGCATTAATGTATACAGCAATGATTTAATTAAAAAAAAAGAAAAAAAAAGAAATGCTCTATTTGATCAGATAAGGCAAGTAATTATCCTTTAATTCAGAAATGGATTAGTAATCAAGAATAAGACATTTAGAAAAAATAGCTGTGATGAACACTATTAAACTAGCAAGAGCTCTTGTCAGCACCAACTCACTTTTTAACAAGAAACCATCATAATAAAAATACTACCTACAAGAGTTTCAAGCAAATGTCTATCAATTCACAAAGTCAGTATCAAAGTATGTTAATATTGTATAAAAAATACATATGTTGAAAAGGTCTCATTAAACTTGTACTGCTGACACTCTCTAAAACAGTGGTTCTCAACGTTCCTAATGCTGCAGCCCTTTAATACAGTTCCTGTGCGTTGTGACTCACAGGTTGAGAACTGATGCTCTAAAACATGAGTGTCACTAAAATATCCTAAGCACCAGTGTTTGCTAACACAGAATAGAAATGAATCCAAAAATGGGCATTAGTGTACTTACAGAAAAGGCGGCTGAGATTATGTGAAGTTTTTATAATCATAAGCGGATGACACTATGGATATTAGAAATATTTAACCTCTCCTTGTTTTTATACTAGATGTTTATCTGGGCTAACAATAATAAGATTTATTACTTAATTCTTTTTTTTTTTTTTGAGACAGTTTCACTGTCACCCTCTTTAGAGTGTCATGGCATCATAGCTTGCAGCAACCTCAAACTCTTAGGCTTAAGTAATTCTTCTGACTTAGCCTCTTAAGTACCTGGGACCACAGGAACCCGTCACAATTGGCCAGGCTATTTTTAGACAGGGTCTCACTCTGGCTCAGGCTGATCTAAAACCTGTGAGTTCAGGCAATCCACCCGCCTGGGCCTCCCAGAGTGTTAGGATTATAGGTGTGAGCCACCGAATTCAGCCAATTACTTAACATAATTCTTAAAAACATTTCATTACGCTCAGTGCCTTGGGCGCCAGCCACATACACTGGAGCT